GAGAAAACTGGTACTACATGTAATTTGTAATGAACCTTTATTTCATTACTTTCATTTCCACTCGCAAGTTCCAAAAATAAAGAGTTTATCTCGCTTCCAATTCTAATATGGCCGAATCGTGAATACAGTCTGTAGACTACTTCACAATCGCTCTAGTTTTGAATGTTCTTGTGAACGAACCCTGACAGGACTTGTACCAGTCTAATGCAAACGTATAGCAACCAAACACCGGCCATTTTGTCAGTCATTTAAATGGCCCTTAACCAAACCAAATTCTAATCTACACATAAACAATGACATCGTCTAACTTCAAAGACCAAGACTCTCTTTCTGCTGAACTCGAGGTAGAGTTCCTAAACAACCAAAAACGAACACCTTATGATCCGCCTACTAGATAACTACAACTAGTCGTTATTTGCAAGCTGCATGGTCCGAAGAAACAATACCTGTTTGCATTGCATTCCCATAGGCGCCATACCACTAAGTGTTGCTACGGTCGTGATTTTAGTGAGAAACAGCGATGACAAATCACCACAAAGGGCGAAAAATAACTTAAGTTTATGTTATCACGATCGGATTCCAAATTACATGTATCGACGCTAACATTTGATCTCAGCGAACATTGTATATCATTTAATGATGTTATGACATCGTGAGCACGACTAATTTCAAGTGTCGCATAACAGTATCTTAATCTATGGTGTAGTGTTCCGAGACACGTTTGCCATATTTGTTGTTTTATTTATTTACAACCATCTTCAATGAGGGTAACCCATCCAGCATAAAAAAATAATCATTTGGGGCCATCACGCAACATGAAAATACATCAAGACAAAGATATAAACAATCACAAGACCTTGACAATAAGAACAACGATAAATTAATAAAAACAATTCATCTTACTCAAGAACAATTAAGAAATAAATCTAGAATGACTGAATTGCACTGAAACTGACAACCCCTATTCCACTTGATTATATTATTAAAAGGCATGACAAAAAGACGAGACAAAAATGGAGTAATTATTAGAGGCGATAACATTGCATACTACAAAGAAAAAAAAAATACGAGCGCCCCCACCTGCCCAAGACAATTAAAATTAAAATGGCCATTACATTGCAAACGTTATGAAATTATACTCTATTTTGGCTACCCCCCTCCCCCCAAAAAAGTTCCAAAAAATGGCGAATCCTTTCAATGTGCAAAAGGAACCAGTGCAAAAGGAACCAGTAACACTTTTTTTTGTATATTCCCGCCGCGAGGTTGAATCAAAAGATGAACTTGGTTACTGACAAGCATGTACGTCAGAAACATCTGAGGTATTCCCACAAATCCCCCCCCCCCCCCTTTGACAAACAACTCTAGACTGAGAAATAAAACCGGAATTACATTCCTGTGGCGATTCTGAAGTGCGGTCGTAGAGGGATTAATGTGGGGTTTAAAATTATAGAAGCCTTCAGCGCGAGCTGGGTAATAGCTTGAGCGATAGACTTCGTCGTTGGAGAAAGTGGGGGATGCGAATGAAACAAATTTTTGAGTGTATTGGTGGAATCGTAATAAAGATCGGTTTATGGATGTCTTGAAGGCATTACAATGATGTCAGAAATGTCATTGAGAGGAAAAAATACCCCTGTATGATTCTGTTTTCCTGGTGATGTCTTTCAAAAAGGGACCGCACATCACAGATAATGCTAGTGTATCAATCAAATATTGCAAGCTCACACTATCAATGACGGGAAAAGAAAACGTAATTTATTAGCGATAGATTTCGGAAGGTAAAAAAAAATGCGACGAGAATTCTTTCATTACTGTGACGACTGAGTAAATTCGGTGACGTTAGCTACTCCCACAAAGGAAGATTTACAGCAGAGTCGGTAAATAAGAACTGCGCTTGAAAAAGAAATTAAAAACAAATATAACACGGCAAGCGAGGCGCAAAAAGCACTTCATTTTTATAGCCCAATTGGTCATAAATAACTGTAAAATTGATTGCCAGATCGAGAGTCCCCTCTCAAACGCCCATCAAATCTCTATCAGCCTTGTGATCCAGCTGTTTGACCGTGTCACGATGAGAGATAGCGACCGCTCATCGGTGTAATTCATACCCACTTTGCACCACGAGAGGGGTATAGTTGTACTCTCGCAGGACGTGACAATGAATACCAATCGGCCCACTGTGAGCAACTCGGGCGGCGCTCTTGATATCAAAGTAATGTACACTCGCGTAATGAAGTACTGAAGGCTCGCTGTTTGGTAACTTCTTTTTCACCAACGATGAATTTTTGATGACGGAATGGCAGTTTGATTCGCTGTTTTTTGTGCGTGTTGGAAAGATGTACATTTAAAAGGTCTGTTCTGCCCCACACCGACGTTTTGTTGTCGAGGAGCATGTGAAAACACAAATCATAAGGTGACTCGGGTTGGACTCGAACCCGCGACCTCCTGCGTCGTGCAGATGCCTTAATCGCTAGTTCGACCACTGAGCTTATTGGGGTCGGCTGGTGGAGTCAAATCCGATAGGATTGATTAGAATTGTACTTCTGAAAAAATACCACAATAATAACGATGACGTCAACTGCTTTAATACTTGAATAGTATAAACTTACATACCAACCAAAGTACAATTACAACTATTCACTTGAACGTAGGTATTTTTTTAATTAACATAGGTTGATCAGGTCCTGCGAAGGACTTTGTCTTTTTCAATCATTAAACGAAAATGAAACGTGTTCAGGTATCATTAAAACAAAACAAATACATATTATTTTAACTTAAAACTCTAGCCCCATTACTTCGGTATTAACTGTCTACTTAACATGCAAACTTCTGTTACCTCAAATAATATTCTATGGTTTTATTTTCAGCATAATGTAACAAATCACTCTCTTTCTATCAAGCAATGAATCATACTCTCTTCCGACGGAGTTCGTGCTTAAAAGTGACTTTCAATAGAACAAAATGTGAGCTGCCATCACAAAATGAGCTTAAAGTCGGAATTTTATAGAATTGAAATATTCATATAATCATCTGGATTCTGCAGAGAGCTTTCCAATGGTATATAAACACAGGGGTACTTAGTTCAGTAATGGAAATATAGACCACCAACTTACTTCAAGTGGTAAACCTTGTTCTTGAGAAAATGGCATTTAAAAATCCTCCATACAGTTAAGTTTGTGATACACTGAATGAACAGTCCACTTAAAATAGATAGGATGAAATAGGTTTTAAATATGTTCGACAGAACAAAAGAAGTTTGAGACAGGTACTTATTAGTTCTTACAGATTGAGGTTCACCTGAAAAAAAATCGACCACCTCTTCAAACTTTTGCCCCACTGTACTGCAAAATGGCAATTACCGACTTTAAGCTCATTTCATGGTGTCAGGTCACAAACAGCTATCACATGATCTCACTCTATGGTTTCCAGACACCTCCAATCCTATAACGAACGCACGGAATACGAATTACTAATAAATGGACACAGGTACAAACATACTCCACGCTTTTGTCACGATCCGCTGATCGGAAGGGTGGATAATCAAGGTGATACTTGGCACGGGGCAAACACAGCGATAATTACAGCGAAAGTTGGCACTAGGTAAACATGACATTCACATCTCTCTCCCGGCAAGATTTCCGGCAAGATTTTTTAATTACGGAATGGTATGGATTCTGAGCGCAGGTACCCCTCAACGGTGACAATGTCAAAGAGCACCGAAAGTGGAGGGCACTCGGGCGACATTGCCCCTGCGAATCCGACTTATACTATTAGCAGCCACGCGTCCGTGACAAATTATTCAACGGTACAAGGCACTTTGTCGTAAATTCTTTGACATTTGGAGACACTGAACGTTAGGGAGATATTTTAGTGTCTCCACATTAAAGAAAATTTAACTACCATTTCTAGATCGCATTTTAGTGCCGAAAGTTGCTTAATAAAACGATTTCTTAGGTCAAGAACAGTACAACTGAAAAGTCTGTGGACGGGGGAGTATTTAGAAATGAGGTACTTACGGGAAGGATTTACCAGTTTTTATTTGGGCACAAGTCTATGGCAATGTCTCCCTAACGTAACATTTTGGTATTTATTAGAAACGAACGTTCTTAACGACTGCATATCCCGCCCACATGGCCTACGACTTGTAGTACCTATACGGTGCCTCATAGGCCCACTGCATCGTGGAAATATTACATTACTTTTATACATTTTCTTTAAATTACCAGATTAATCAGCTATCTTCTGATTATATACACATTTCTCCAAATAAGTAGTATTTCAAAATGTCTTGTACTCGGTACAATTTCAATTGAGATCGCCGTGTATGACTGTCCACGCGCTGCCAGCCAACAAGTACCAAGCAAAGTTACGGGTAACATTGGCATCAACATGCTACACACTGATTTCTTGATAGAAAAATGAAAATCACACATCTATTCACAAAATCTATCGGGCGACCCTTCTACATAGCTGGAATAATCTCGACACATAAAATAATTAAACAAGTCACGCATGGTGACCGACCTTGGTTTACACTGTGGTTCAGTTACCACGCTCGTTGCCAAAAAACCTACCTTCGATTTCAAGGTAAAATAAACATGGTGTTTAAAGTGGATTCAGTAACTTTCGCTAGTTCGTCTCGCTGCTCATCCGTGTACAAAAAGAAAGGTCGGATGGGCAGGTTCCGGTTCCCCTTTTAATGCTGAGCTTTGAAAGGAAAGAGCGGGAACCAGTCGAGATGTGAGACAAACTACCTCTGTAACCGTTTTGCATACCAACAAATATTATGGCGTACCACTGAAGTGATCTACTTGATAAACAACAGCTGCTGCTTGAACTTTACAGCGTTTTTCTCACAGTATACCCTCAAGATCAGAATTACACAGGAACACACACAAATCACTATGATTTTTCGTAGTATTGTGGAAGTGACGTTCCATCTTCAGAGCCTGTATGTAAGTGTACAACGGTTTACAAGTATATTTTGTCTTTATGTGTTACAGGGCCATGAGAAGGTGGCAGAAAAAGAAGGCGAGAAGTTCTTGGAAGAGTTTACAAACGATGAGTTAACAGACGAAGACAAGCGGTTTGGAAAGGGTGGTGCCTACGATCCTCTATCAGCGGGCTTCACAGACAAGCGTTTCGGCATGGGTGGCGCCTACGATCCCCTTTCTGCTGGCTTCACAGACAAGCGGTTTGGAAAAGGTGGGGCTTATGATCCACTATCAGCAGGCTTCACAGACAAGAGGTTTGGTAAGGGTGGCGCCTACGATCCACTATCAGCAGGCTTCACAGACAAGCGGTTTGGAAAAGGTGGGGCTTATGATCCACTATCAGCAGGCTTCACAGACAAGAGGTTTGGTAAGGGTGGCGCCTACGATCCACTATCAGCAGGCTTCACAGACAAGCGGTTTGGAAAGGGTGGCGCCTACGATCCCCTTTCTGCCGGCTTCACGGACAAGCGTTTTGGCATGGGCGGCGCCTACGATCCTCTTTCTGCAGGCTTCACAGATAAGAGGTTTGGAAAGGGCGGTGCCTACGATCCTCTATCAGCGGGCTTCACAGATAAGAGGTTTGGAAAGGGCGGCGCCTACGATCCTCTATCAGCGGGCTTCACAGATAAGCGTTTCGGAATGGGTGGTGCCTATGACCCCCTTTCCGCAGGCTTCACTGACAAACGAAAGCGTTTCGGCATGGGCGGTGCCTATGACCCCCTTTCTGCAGGCTTCACAGACAAGCGATTTGGAAAGGGTGGCGCCTACGATCCTCTTTCAGCAGGCTTCACAGATAAGCGTTTCGGCATGGGCGGCGCCTACGATCCCCTTTCTGCAGGATTCACAGACAAGCGATTTGGAAAGGGTGGCGCCTACGATCCTCTTTCAGCAGGCTTCACAGATAAGCGTTTCGGCATGGGCGGCGCCTACGATCCCCTTTCTGCAGGCTTCACAGAGAAGAGGTTCGGAAAGGGCGGCGCCTACGATCCCCTTTCTGCAGGCTTCACAGACAAGCGTTTTGGAAAAGGTGGGGCTTATGATCCACTATCAGCAGGCTTCACAGACAAGCGGTTCGGTAAGGGTGGCGCCTACGATCCTCTCTCGGCAGGCTTCACAGACAAGCGCGGTTTCCTACACGGACCAGACGACCCGCTCAGCACTAGCTTTGTAGACGGAGACAAGCGTACTGGATTCTTTCGGGGCCCTTTCCGTCACCTCGTGGCAGCGAAAAGGGACCCAGAAAAGAAAGATAGCCGATAAGAAGACCCAGACAATACCAACTCCAAACATTGCTCGCTACACTTTGAAACTGTACAAGGATAAGTTGAAGCCATTGACTTTATGAACACTTCCATTGACGATTCTACAATGGTCCAAAAGTTCACCATTAGTTCGAGAGGGTCAATTGAGAACTGTTCTTAGATTTACAAAAGTACATTCTTAAACCCAATGCATCAAAGCCGTTTTGATGGTACAATACATATGTATACGACTTAATATTGTATGAGTTGTCTAAATTGTTCGAATCATTTTTGCTCTCCTGATGTTTACGTGTGGATTTACTTCGATTTACAATGCGAGGTAAATTTACACCCAAAGAAACCATTCCTTTTTGACCATTGGTTCGTCTTATACTAACAACTTTGTCATAGCTCTCGTACCTGGCACAGCACTTTGTAGGCGGCAGATGTGCACGCATGCTTCACCTGCATACTTCACCTGCATGTTTCTTTTGGTCGTACCATTGTGTGGTATTTCTTTGCAAATTCAAATCTGCATTCACCTGTCGACTGTTATGTAATAATACAGTCAACATTTGGTGGTATGCAGCATGACAATTCTTCTTTAAGCTAAGCTAAAACATCTTCAAGCGCATTAAGCTCAAACTTGGATGAAACACATTATAATTGGCAGTTGATTCAAGTGTTTAGTCATTTCTCACTGGAAATTATTATGCGATTGGGTCGAACAGCCCAAACCGTGAGTATTTGAATTGCAAACCAAGAAACCATTTAAACAATAAAGTGATCGTGAATGTTATACATTGTATTGCGATCAGATGACAGGCGTTGGACTTGGCACTGGTTAATCACAAATAACTAAGTATAAGTAGTGTATAGCAAATTAAATATTTTCTTTAATTTGAAAAATGACGCCTATCTTTGTAAATTAAATTAGAAAAGCGAAAGCCATGTGGTAACAGGTATGACATGACAAGTTTATCAGTTACATCAACTCTGGCGTATCGCCACCAATAGTTCTATCTATTTTCCTCTAAGAGCCAAACAGAAAATTATGAATAATAGTGTTTCCCCCGAAACACTACTGCTACCGCTGCGCGTCGCTCTGTGATACTGAGCCTTTTAAAACAGCAAAAACTATGATCACTGTTTAAACATTAAAGCAATGTTAATAAGGGATTACCACATGACATGTCATGTAGAAGTGTTGTGTTACCCTTAGAATGGTTTCAAATATTCAAGGTTTCATTTTTCTGACGAGCCGCAGTCAATTTCTGTGTGTATATGAGGTAGAGTAAACTTCTTAGTTGTAATTAATGTTTGAAGTGGCGATATGAAAAGGACGGATTTATTTTGAGTATTTCACAAGTAATAATGTATTTAAAAAAAATATTATCCGTTTATTAATTAATAGACGGTGATTTAAACCAAATGTTGTCTGATAGGATACGTTCTGTGAATAACAATATGCATGCATACTGTGCCAACTGTGTCAACCGTGCATGCCAGTATATTTCAGATTGCGAAACGCTATTCTTTATAAATGGAAACTTGTACAACCTTAATTAAAATAGTCTATAAATCAAATAGTTTACACAAATACCTTTGATATAATTATATCGACATAGTTTTGGGACATGGGGCTACATAATGAAAACAAATTCAGTAATAGTGTGATATGTAGATGTAAAAAAATAATAAAGATAGTATGTTAAATACCGTAAAACCAGATTAAAATGACATACTAATACTCTAACCAATCAGTTATTTGAGTATAATCGTTGCATAAACTGGTAAATTGAGTAAACCTGTACATTGAGCATGATTATAATGACAAGTCAAATAATTGTAAATAAATCAGAAACTACGGAACAGATTTAGTATGGGCTTGCATCGGATATATACCGCAGAGCGAGATTTCGTCTGATGATTGTAGGCACTAGATTTCATTTCATTTTGCTCGATCTGCTTGTTATACGCACTTTTATCAGAAAAGTTTGAACCTCTTGGTAAAAACTGATCCGACAGCCACCGCAACCACATCACTATTATTGGTATCTCGCTCACATTATGTCGCCTACATTCTTAGGTTTTAGGAGCAACGATTACGTGAGAAAGACCTGCGCGCTACCTCACTAGACCAATCCAGGCACGCTGTCACTTTTATCACGAAGGCCCCCTTCAATGGCGAAAGCATTGTGCTACCTACTGTACAGATAATCCGTCATGGGGCAGTTCCTTTGCACAATAGCTGGCGCACTGCTTTCGCCATTGAAGAGGCCTCATGTGTGTGATCACCTGCCGGCATTCCTTTTTACACTAAGTAAAGGAGAGTATTTTGAACTGCAGGTGCATGTAATGGTGAAATTTGGACTATGAAAAAAGGACCTATGGGTTGTATTGCGCATGATTATGTGAAGATAATTAGGACAGTGACAGGTGACTAGCGATGGTTATAGAGTCCATAAAAAGATACCAGATTTTATAGGAGTTTAAGTTTCATATGACACCGGTGTGTCTCATCCGCATCGAACATATTATACTGGGGCTTGCTTAAACAAGTACTTTGAAGAAAGCTGCATTCTTGTTATGGCCAAGTGCTTTATAATCAGAATATTATACACCAGGAAACTCGTCTGCGAAAACAAATTATATATCTCGATAGATATTTACCATAAAAGATGTAAAAGCGGAGCAATATTAACAGCATATTGTGTAATAATTTGTCTGAATTACTTAACATCACTTATTATCAACACAGATATAAAAATGTATCTTGAAACTTGCAAGATGTCATAACAGGCTGCATGTGTAAACAAGAATCAATAAACTTAACATGATTTATCAATGCATCAGAAATCAAACATCGACTCATGATGGAAGTTCCAAATATTTTGACGAAACCTGACAAAGATAGTAATACAGTATCTGATTTGTTCATCGTTTCTTAGGTTAGACAAGCTAACTCTCACACAAGTTGGCAAAGTTGTAACAAGACTGTAACAATACATGCATAACACCAGTGGCGCCTGAAAGCTTGTCAAAATACTGTTGTCATGATTGAATAAGGATGCCCTGTGTGTGTTTAAATGGCGCGATTTTATTTCGTCTTTGAGTTGAGATATCTACAGTGTATTGAAGCATTCCTTCACTGACCACTTCAAACTGTTAAAATTTGACAGAAGCTCTCCTCGCCAAAAAGGGCAATTCTTAAAGCACCACGTTTATAGGCAGCCAAAAGTAGAACAACCGGCTAAATAACATCAGAGACTGCAATATAAAGATCACTTGAAATTGACAAAAGAGGTCGTGTAGCTGACAGTGACCTGGCAGGGAGGAAGTTAACATCAAAAGCACTGAGGCCTAAACCATTTTTGTTCAAGAAGTAATATACACCAGGGAGATTCTCAGAGAGGTTCTTGAAGGGCGTCGCAATGTCAGTTCCAGACCGAGTTCAAACATTTTCATTTCCGGTCCTCCTGTGTTACACCTTGCCTTTATCAGGAGGTAGGATTTCACTGAACAGGCAAATATATACAATGTATCTCCGAAAAATAACTAGCTAGGAGTGAACTTGAGAGATTGAAAAACAACTTCTTTTCCTAGAGATACACTCCAGTGAGATGAGATGTTCAAAGACGCTGTGAGGCAACTTACCTTTTTTTACTCTCTCTTCTGCTCCGGGGGTATAATGGGTCGAGTGGGAAAGCTGGCGTCCTGGAACACAGATGGGCCATTTACGCACGTGCCAGCGACTCTTGAGAAGGTTAGAGAGACAGAGGTGATGCAAGATGGCTCGAAGACAAACTGCGGAGAGGATGAGGAGGAGATGGGTGAGGAGACAAGAAGATGGAGGCGAATGGGGAGGAGTGACGAGAATTAGCATGATTACTTACTTAGAGTAACAGAAGATCTGATAGGGCGAAACCATACCTGATCGAAACCACTGCAGCTTTTTATCAAGAGTTTAATGGCTACAAGGAATACTTTGTTTGGGGGGGGGGGGGTTGAACCTTCTTTCTTGTTGTAAATGAGTCTTCATACTGGCTGGACTACCCCAATAAACAAGATGCCAAAGTGACTGGCTAAAATCCAAAATTATTTTAGCCCCCAAAACTAGCTTCACCTTACTCTATCCCACTGACACACCACTCTATGCCTCCTTTAATTTGATAACACATTTGAGGTGTTTGTAGTCTTTAAAATTTCATAATTTTCCCACTTTTCAGCCTTGTCCACTTTTGCTTTGAATTGCCCTCGCGCATGTAGAATAACTATTTTACAAGAATGGAGGGTTGTTTTCTGACAATCAATTCCTCAGCTTTTGTAGTTTGGATTAGTGGTGGGACATAAATCCGGATTCTTTTCAAGATTTGGCTTGAATTCCACCATTTTGGTTCCGATTTTGGAAACTGGATATTTAAAAGCAACCTTCAAAAAATATTTGGTGAAGCAGGCTAAAAACAAACCTGGAATATCCCCCAGTTTGCTCCAGTCTCTAGATTGTAACTGCATTCACTTGCTAGTGGTCTTCTTGGTATATGAATTTCCTGCACATTTGACTTATCAAACAGTTCCCACCCATTCTTCATCGTTAGAGATTTTTAAATCAGTGGCCATTGAAGCGTACAAACTGTACCCGATCATTGAGAGGGCATTGCATGCAGTACCCTACTCGTCACTTTTTGTTGGCATGACTGCAAGCTGAATGGGAACTTCCGGTGAAATCGGATAACCATTATTCGGTTTAAAAAAACCAGTAGGACAACCAGATTTTAAAATATCCGATTTCTCCCACCACTAGTCCAGGGCGGATGGGGGGGGGGGGGGGGGGGGGGAGAGACACCATAGAGGGCCATGCTCCCCCCCCCCAAAAAAAATAAACGAACCCAAATTTGTTTAAGTGACGTCGCAATAAAGGCAGGCAATGAGTACACCACCATCTTTTCCTCAAAAAAAAATTGGTAAAAGTGGTCAGAAATTGCCTCAGATCGCACCGAAGAGCATCTAGAATAAAAAAAAAAATTTCTACCCTTTTTTGACCCACCATTCTAGTGGCAAGGGCGGATCCAGAACACAATTTTCTTTTTGAGGGGGGGGGGGCCAAAACAAATTTTGAACCCCCTAAAAAAAATTGTGTTCTGGATCCGCCCTTACCACTAGATTGGATAGCAAATTACATAATCTTAACAAAGTAACATCAACCACTGAATTCGGGGTCCTATTCAGGTAACATATAGGACTATTAAGTTCGAACTTTTGCACAGACTTTGCTAAGAACAGAAAATATTGGCTGAGCAAAATTGGGTAATGTGCCAAAACGTTATACATTGCAGTGCTCAGCTGTTTTTGCTTGCAACATAAGTTGTTAAGCAATATTTTTCAAAAAGCAGTATTATTATGACTGACATTCAGATTCTTGTCATTCAATTGGTGGAACTCTCATCACGTGACATTCGTTATTGCTCCCATTCACACCGGGGCTCAAAAAGTCCCATTCGCCCATGGGGAATGGAAAATACAGTTAAGATCATTCTTGTTCCATCAGGGGCGTAGCACGGTCATTTTTATTGGGGGGGGGGGTTAAATTTTTTGAAAAGGGCACTTGCACATCCGTTGTGAAATGTAGACACTTGGACACTTGGCCTCCGTAAAATCAAAAAGGGCGGGGGGGCCTAGGACCATCTGTCGATGGGGGCGCTGTTCAAAACCGACAATTATGCACAGAAAGGGCCAATGTATGGTGCTTTTCAGGGCGATACATGTGCAAAATTCTGAAAAAGGCACCCAAAACGGCAGATGCCACAAAAACGGGCACCACTTCTTTTCTGAAAAGGGCACTTGTTCAGAAAAAAAGGCCACTTCGTAAAAAAAAGGACACTCTTTACAAATTATTGGGGGGGGGGAGTTAAGCCCGTTGAAAAAAGGGCATTTGAATGGAAAATGGCAGTCTTTACAAAATATTGGGGGGGGGTAAACCCCCCTTACCCCCCCCCCCCTCCTTACCCCCCCCCCCCCCCCCCCTGCCAACCCCAACCCCCCCACTGGCTACGCCTTTGCCCATGATGCGGTATTGGCGTGCAAAATGCATGCTGGTGTGCGCGTTCAGCGTTACACGTAGCGCGTATTGTTCCAAAGAGCCAGCGCTAAAGAGTTGGGTTCAAACATTTTCGTGGAGAGAGAAATACATTTTCCACCAATTTTGTATTGAAATAAAAATTCAAATATATCAAATGACAAGGATTTCTATATGTCAGTAATTGTATAAAACAAATATTGAGAGCTTTAAATTGTGAAATGGGAGGAATATTATCGCTCGGTACAATCTGGACTTTTCCAGTTCACTCGGCTTCGCCTCGTGAAATGGAAAGATCCAGATTTTACCTTGCGATAATATGCCTCCCTTTTCACTCTGAGCCACTCAATATTTGTATAACATCAAATTTAATTGGGCCAAGGAGAAAGTCTATTTTCCAATCCTATTTTGGAAACTTAATGGTTCCCAAGTCTGGAGTAGGCTTACTGAATGTTAACAAAATGTTAACTGACAGAAATTGAAAATGTATGCAATTAACAGGGGCGGATCTAGCTTTCAGGAAATGATGGGTTGCTATAAAGGGTAGGGGTTGAGTCATTTTGAAATATATGATAATTTTTTTCTGCATTTTAAGGCAATTCAATAATACATTTGGGAACTTAAGTTCCATTTATTATTTCTGGCCCCATTTTACTAAAGGAATAAATGTGTGTTCGGAAGGTATTATAACACTCTGTTTAAGACCGGCGGGAGTCTGGATGGGTAATTATCACCCATCCAGACCCCAACCGGTCTTAAACAGAATGTTTAATACCGACCGAATACAAATTTATTCCCATTCATAAATACCTTTTCGGTCAAAAAAAAAATTGTTTCCATCCAAAAATCAAAACAAGTCAAAAACTAGACATTGCTAACATGCATTTCATGCTGTATCAAACACCCCTCTGACTATAATATGGAATGTCCCTCTACAATTCCTTACCTTATAAGGACATTGGCGTGCGCGTCGCGCGTACTGCGCGATGTCGCGCAAAACGCAGCTGGGCGTTTTTCAAAATTCGCACTTGTAGTGTGAATTTTGGAATTTGAAATACTGATCCACTGGTAGCATTGCGCTTGCCTACGTGAGGAATGTGAAGTTAAACCAATGAAACGTTGAAAGGCACCGAATTTCATGGGAGTCCAGATTTCATGAGGCACTGGAAAAGGGTTTAAGACCAGCCAGTGGCCATATCTTTATCATCCGTTTAAAACCTGCCACGTGAAGGGCTCTCGACCAATAGGAATGGGTAATCTGTCTTAGGTATTTATGAATAGTTTCTTATAGTCAGTGGCTGAACCCGGGGGAGGGGGGGGGGGGGTGCAACCCCCCAACTACATGTACCTCTCTAGATCCGCTATTGATTAACCTGCCAACTATTGTTGTTAATGAGTTAGCACACTGCCAGCTAGTACAATAAGCCAGTTCGGTATTTCAACTGCGCATGCACATAATGATATGGGTCATGGGTAAAATTTTGGATAATCGAACGGCTCATCGAAGGCGCATGAACGCGCAGGGAGACGGCGTACGACCCTTGCCTATTAATTACAAGCAGAATGGGCGTCCGCATTACATCACGTATCATTACGTCAGCCATTTTATCCCGAATGACCTTTGACCTGGACTACTTCATCGTGAT